TTCATTTTGATAGTGAAAAGTTGAGCAATATACTGATAATATTTCTTGATGCCCCCACATACATACATATCTATGTTGTTATCAGTCATCAAGTTGCTTTGGACCTATGACAATAAGCTTTTCAGGGTATGTAACCCACGCCCAACATCCCCAGTGAATTTACATCACCATGCAGATTTTTCAGCCCTGGTCTCTTGAGTCCAGCACTCTGTCACTGTGACACACTGACATCTATGTTAGATCTACATCTAGATGTGTCTGGTAATGCATTGGTGACTTCCCTGAGATGTTAGAAGCGGGGGGGGGGGGTTTGGCGGCGGCAGAACTACAAACTTTTATATTCTTTGAAAGAATGCATTGTAATTACAAGGACATCATCCTTGTACCATCATCCTTTTACCATTCACCATCAAGATGGCTGCGCAGGAAGGTGCTACAGCTGAATGCTCTCTCGGTTGGTGGAAGGAACGGATGAGTTTGGGTGTGTCTTTTTTGCTTGTTATGAACACATTCGGTGGGGTGAAAGGATCCTACAGTCAGCAAGCTCTGTTACAACTTGGAACGAAATGTGAAAAGGCTATACAGAGGATTTTATCTGTTCTCACAACATATCGGAGGAAGTAGCTAGGACCCTGGGGGAACCCTGGATTACAATTCCAGTGGAAAGGAGGTGGAGGCGGCGGAGAGACAGAAGGAGAAAGAGAGGTTGTCCTGCTGGTGTTTTTGTGAAGTTGAGTAAATCTCCACACAGGCCTCCAATTCGAAACATTTTTCTTACCAACATGAGATCTCTTGCAAACAAAATGAATGAATTAAGGCTGCAGATTGTAAAGAGCAAACTTATTAATGACTGCTGCGTTTTGCTAATCACAAACACCTGGTTTCACTCTTCTATCCCGGACACAGTAGTTGAGCTGGAGGGCTATATAGCTCACCGACCAGACAGGAGCAGGGATACCGGAGAAAGCGAAGGAGGGGCTTTAAGTCTTTAGGTGAACAAAAGCTGGTGCACAAATACAAAGGTTGTAGATAGCCATTGCTCTAAGGAGTTGGAGTATATGACTGTTAGATGTGTAGACCAATAGATCTTCCACGGGAGTTTAATGTGATCTTGATTACTGCAGTCTATATTCCACCTGTTGTCAGTGAATCTTTGGGACTTTTGTATAATCTGGTGGACAATCAGCAGTATAGGAATCCTGACGCTGTATTCATCATGGCAGGGGATTTCAATCACGTCGAATTAAAGACTCTGTTACCTATGTTTTACCAACATGTTAAATGTGTTACCAGATGAGTGAATACGCTGGACAAAGAATATACCAACATTAAGCATGGCTATAGGGCTATACAATTACCACACTTAGGACATTCAGATCATATGTCACTGTTTTTGGTGCCAGCGTACATTCCTCTTAGAAGACAGACTTCACCTATAATAAAGACAGTGAAATCTTGGCCTAAAGATGCCTCACAGCAACTTCAGGACTCTTTTGAGAAAACAAATTGGGACAGTTTCTATAATCCGGACCTGGAGGGAAGTACACGGCAGTTGTTCTATGCTATATTAAATATTGCATAGAAACTGTTACTGTGGATAGAGACATACGGATCTATCCCAATCAGAAGCCCTGGATGACTAAGGAAGTCCAGTGCCTTTTGCATGAAAGGAACAACACCTTCAGGTCTGGTGATGGGGAAAGATATAGTGCTGCGAGAGTCGGGCTGAAGAGAGGCATTCGGCAGGCTAAGAGAGATTATAAGAAGAAAATTGAAGAGCAATTTCACAATAACAGTGTGAGGCAAGTGTGGCAGGGGGTTCAGCAAATAACTAATTATAAATCAAATAACGTCATTTCTCATGTGGGGGAAGTTTCATTGGCTGAGGAATTGAATTATTTCTTCACTTGTTTTGAAGTGGGACTGCCAGAGATAGCAAAAAAGACAGCCACTAGTCCATAACAACTTCTGCCTCACTTTGGAGGAGCATGAGGTAAGGAATGTTCTGAGGGCTGTGGCTCCTAGAAAGGCTGCAGGACCTGATGGCATTCCTGGTCATGTGCTCAAAGATCAGCTGGCTAGGGTTTTCACCAAGATCGTCAGTGGATATTTATCACAGTCTATTCTTCCATCCCTCTATTATTGTTCCAATGCCAAAGAAGAACCATATTAACAATCTCAGTGATTCTAAATAGATATTTTCATGTTATGGATGCTACGTTCTTGTGTGTTTTATTATGTGTACTGGAGATGGCATTTCATTTCGTTGTACGGAATTACTATGATAATAAAGCAAATTCAGTTCAGTTTGCCCCTACTGATTTTATTCACAAGCCTCTTGGGAGCAGGTGGTCTCACAAAGCAAGTAGAACAAATGCTGATTCTGCTGCAGCCTCCAAAGAACAAACCCAGATGGGCATCTCCCATTTGGCTTTCTCAAATTCAGATAGCTGCTCCTCTCTCACTTACCTTCTGCAGGAGAAATTGTTTGAATACCTTACCCTACAGCAGAGGATGGAAACTCATACTTGCCTAATTTTTTTTAGAAGTAAATTAGAAAAAGCTTGGGCTGTGTAAGTTAGAAAAAAGCACAGGCTGCATCGGAGGTGTGGTTTTCAGCTTGCAGCTCAGGTAGCTATTGATTAGATGTCACACCTCAGCTCCTCAAATAAAGAAAGCCAGGCAATATGGATATACCCCTCCCACATGGCCATCTTTTCGAAACTACAGGTTTCTATTTGACTTGGGAATAGGGCAGCACAGTGAGAGAGAGAAGCTGGTGTCCTCCATCTGGGAACAGGGGTGAAAATTTAGTTAGAGCCAATTGGAAACAAATTAAAGCCTATTTATTAATTAATATTATTACCTAGCCGTTAGAAGCAGGTGTTTCCTTCAGTTTGCAGTCCTGCTTGGCTAATGTTAAGAGCCCACATTGTCTTCTTGTTGGTGCGGTTGGGGCAGCCTTTCTTCATATCTTCATAGTTCTCAGAAACAAAATCTAAGAGAGCCATGTGGTCTTTAGGAATAGGTGATACTTTTATTAGACTACTAAAAAAATCATGCAATCTGCTAGCTTTCATGGATCAAAGTCCACTTCCTCAGGCATGCATTGTGCAGAAAATTAAGATTCCCGAAAGTTCATGGCAGATAGTTGTGTCAGGTTTGTTTCTTAAGAGATATGTTAGAAATAGCACAGGCTGCATTGGAGGTATGGATCCCATCTCTGGGGATGCGATTTTTGGTTTTTCTGGACCAAAATACGTACAATGATTCACCATTCTGGGAGTTCTACCTACCTTTCAGGCACCTTTCAAACCCCTGGGGGAAAGACCTATATTAGAAGGCTTTGACCTTTAGCTAGACCTAGCTCCACCAAAGCTTCCGGTTGCTCCTGCAATATTAGCTGGGAGCAAGATGTAAAGGTTGTCTTGCAGAAAATATGAGCATTGGTGAGACTGATTTAAAAAAAAACTTTTGTGAATGTGTAAAATATTGAAATGATGTTTCCTGCCCTATTGAATGGTATTTTGAAGCACTGCATGTGTTGGTTACAGCCTTACGAGTATTCAGGTTATCTTGTGTTTGCCCTGTGTATAGATGCTAGAGAAGTTTTGCCCAACATGTCCAGATGTCAATAAAAAGGCACTTCTTGTCTCATCCTTGCTTTCTCTCTAAGATCTGTCATGGGGGCTTGAGAATCCTGAAGGCTTGTGTCAAAACAGCAATCTCAGACATTTTGGCAAAAATTCTGCACATCCCTGCTTCTAATGTAACATGCTCTGTATTAGCTGAATGACCTTTTCTGAAGAGGAGGGGTGTTATAGATCAGTGGTTCTTAACCTTTCATTAGCTGAATGACCTTTTCTGAAGGGGGGGGGTATTATAGATCAGTGGTTCTTAACCTTTATTACTCAGGTGTTTTTGAACTGCAACTCCCAGAAACCCCAGCCAGCAGAGCTGATGGTGAAGGCTTCTGGGAGTTGCAGTCCAAAAAACATCTGAGTAACAAAGGTTAAGAACCAGTGTTATAGATTGTGATCCCATCAATCCTGCAGACTTGAAGTACAGTTTGGTACATATTGTCCCTTTCTGACCACACAGTTCTATATCAATCCAGAGCATAATTATTTTGATCACTGTGTGATTTGTGGGGAGAAAAGGTAAGGGGCTTGGGCTGTATCCTTAAGATTCTGGCACAGATTAAACCCATTTGATCTATTTGCATTTTTTAAAGCAGATAAAGAGAATTGGCTATTTCTTTTTAATTCCTGAAGTGTTTTGTTGCAGTTCTTTTATATATGTTGTTTAGTTTTGGATATCATATTGGATTATCTAGGTCTTGTGTTACAAGAACTGCTAAATTAATATGTCCACTGCCACAAATCGGCCTCTTATAAATCTTAACTAGTCAGGAGGGGAGAATTAATTGAGAGGCTGAAGGGGCTTGGTGATAGTATACTATTCAAGAGCTACTGCACATTGGATCCTAAAGGGGCTAGATAAAAATGATTTGAACCTCAAAGTGATACACAATACTGGCAATTATAATGATAGTTTTATGTACTGAAGAAAACTATCACTGTAAAATAAGTTCATTGAACTCATGAAATACATTGGATTGTACGATGACAGTTTTAGATAGGCTAGACAGTGGATGAGACCTGAGAGAAAGGCTGAGGAACCTGTGGCTGTATCATTTAAATAAAACATTTATTTATAAACAACCTATCTCCATAAAAATATCTGTAGAATAATATAGCAGAGGGAGAAGAGAAAAACATTATTTCCATATCAGTCAATGATAGCATTTTATATAATTTGGTGTGTGTGTGTGTGTGTGTGTGTGTGTGTGTGTGTGTGTGTGTGTGTGTGTGAGTGTGTGTGTGTGTGTGAGAGAGAGAAAGAGAGAGAGAGAGAGAGAGAGAGAGAGAGAGAGATAGTACCATTTTCTATGGTTTGAAAGGATATTAATTTTAAACTCTTTTTTTAAAAAAATACAGGAGTTGTCAAAGTGGATTATGGAGATGTGTCAGTCAGGAAAGCACTGAGAGACAAACTGAAATGTAAACCATTTTCATGGTACCTAGAAAATGTCTACCCAGACTCCCAGATTCCACGCCGATATTTCTCCCTTGGAGAGGTATGAACAATTACTTTTCTGTAAGCATTTGTTTTTAAAAGCCAAGAAATTTCAAATGAGAAGAAGACCTATCATTGTTCCTTGTGACGTGATTTAAGTTTTAAATTGCATGGCTGTTTGTAGGTTTTTTTAAACAACGATTTATATTCCTGGAAAAATGCTCAGGCTTCATTTTCATGAGATGCAGGTTGTGTGTTAGCACAAACATTAGCCTTTCAGAACAAGCAGCATTTGAAGTCTTTCTCATATATCCTTTGATTCGTGCTCAGACCAAGTTACAGGTCATACTGTGGTTCACTTAAACATAAGACTGTGATAACAGATGCCTTGTTAGGGCATGAGTTTCTTTTTAAAAAATAGAAGTATTAGGTGGACAGTTTTTTGCTCATTTTTTGAGCAGTTATCCTGTGCTTTTGTGCGCACTGCCTATATGTGCTTGGCTTCAGAAAGGGAAAAGCTGCCACAGTTATTTTGCACATGATGCTCCAATGACAAGAAAAAAAGTGTTTTTGTTTATCTCAAGTCTCTCATAGTAAAGGCAAAAACTCTCATAGTGCTAGAATCCTTGGCAGGACATATCCCTGTGTCAAGACAGCTTGTCTCAATCAAGAATGAGGCATTGTTGTGGTTTCTTCATATACTTGAAGCAGAAGACATAGTACTGGCGAAGAGGTTTCCTGTTAGCGAGAGTCCTATGTACTAAATGCCACCACAACCATGCCCAGGTCTATTTTCACCAGGAATTAGGGGAAATTTAGTTCCCATTGTTCTGTACTTTGAATAGCAGTTGTTCTTCCCCAGGAAACACTTATGGAATGGATGTAAAAGAAGGGAGTGCTAGCAGCCTGAAGATTTAATGGGATGCTGCTGTGTCTCATGGAAAACAGAAAGGTTTATCCCAAAATGTGGGATGGTACCTCCTACTCCAGCAGGAGCTGTAAACGGTGTAAAAATGAGTCCCTTCTGAGTTTGACTGAAAGTCTGTTTTTACCCCCTGCCTCTATATAAAGCAATCAATACTATTGGATAAATTAATAAAATAATATTAAGTTGTCTTCCTTTTTTAAAAAGCCCTACAGGGGTTTTATTTAAAGATCCAGCAGTATTGTGTCTGTGGCAAAGCTGGGAAGGCCCTTGATTTACCTCTCAAATTATATTAATACTTAAATCTGGAGTTGCAAGGTCAGGTTACTGTGATTAACAGTCATACCAGGTTTTAAGAAAGAAATCTAATATTTCCAGACCATTTAAAAATACATAACATGCTTTGTAAGCATGAAATAATATGATTTTGCCTCATGATTCACAGCAATGTAACTGAAGTTATGAAACAGTCATTAAAAGCATCTTATTTTCACCTATGAGATCTGGGTTTCTATGGAAACAGAAGCAGAATTTTAAACAGCATCTGTGAAATAAGACCTGCTTGTCAGTTTCAGCTGCTAGATGTCTCCTAGGTTTATGGGCCTTACTTCCCTTCCCATTACCGTTGGAGGTATATATTGGTACTGTATATAAGGATAAACCAATAGTAATGGTTGCAAGAGATCTGTGAGAAGACCAACAGAAAATTACAAAAAAGTTAGCAAGCTTTGTTAAAGAGATGTGTTCCATGTGCAATCTTTACAACACAATCCTATGCATGTCTACTGAACATGAACTGTATTGCATTAAATGAAGTACTAGTGTGTCAAAGCAAAACTCAAAAGCTAAGTCCGGTTAGGATTGCAGCTTTAATCAGTTGAATGCAAAAAGAAATGCAGATGAATCCAAAGGGTATCATGCTTGTGTTTCCCACTCACAAACAACCTGAAAATATAAAATACATTGATTATTTTTATTTACTGCACTTCTGTGCTGCATTTCTCCCAGCAATGGGACACATGTGGTGACTTGTATAGGTTTCTAGCACTCAGTTGAGAGCAGAACCAAATGAAATATTCTTAGTTATTCTCCGTTATTCTTAATTATTCTCCAACTAAAGCTGGAGATTAATTTTTGGTAGTTCATTAATAACCAGACTTCCAGACTGAACGTTTGGTCTTTTTATCATGCTGACCAACATTTTTTTTGTTTCCTGCAATATCTGTTATCCCCCACTCCATGGCCTTTTTAGCCTTGTAGCCTCCATGATTAATACTTTTGGTAAACTTCAAAGCTTATTTGAAGTGCTGTTCCAGAAATCTCCCTCATGAAAATTTAGACTGTTTTCTTCCAGCTTGATAGAAAAAAGAAATAGCTTCTGAAAAGTATTTCAAAGGAAGAGAAATTATCATAGGTGAGATTCACGTTTTTGTGCATACCTGATTGAACAAGGTGGCTGAAGATATAAGTAAATGTCTTGTCTTTCACTGAGTGATACCAGTGTATCTCTGTGATGGCTTATAGCCTTCACAGGGAGCAACAACATAAGGACTGTCTTGGTCTTCTTTGGTTCAAAAGGGATAGGATGCCAGGGAAGCTGTAGAAAGAGGCAAAACAGGTGGAGCCCTCTCAGCCACGTTGCAGTATTATGAGAAGCTCAAAAATATCATCAAATTGGATTATAAAGAGCCCTGAGAATCACCAGAAAATGTGGAAGCCTCTTTTGGGAAATCAGGCCAGTTATGACACAGCACCAGTTTCACTTTTATTCTGGAGCCAAATGTAACACTGCGTTCCCTCGTGCCTATTACAAATCTTTCAGAGAAGCACCTTCTGTGGTGAAGATAAAATTATTTGCAGCCCCCCCCAAAATGTAACTGAGAGACAGATCTGAATCTTGAAGAACAACAAATGCTGAGCCAAAGTTCCTAAGAAGGCATATATCATAGTAGCATTATGAGATTTTTTTTCTTCCTCCTCTACAATAGAAAGCAACTTTAATTTATCCACCCCTTATTGGGTTTTTTTCCTTTTGTTGCTGCCTGCTGTGGCAAAGCAAAATAAACTGATACAAGCACTACTGACTGTGACAACCCCAGATCTACTGGAGGATGCCACAGTTTCCCAGGTGTTGTGCTCCCAATTTCTCTGCCTACAAATATTGTGCAGACCAGGTTCTTAACCTCTGGTCCATGGACCCACAGGGGGGCGTGTTGTGCGTGTTGTCTTTACAGAGGGTCAAGACTTGAAGAAATGTTGTGATCTTTTGCAGTTAAAATAGAATGAATGAATGAACGAATGAATGGATGAAAAGGAAACATACAAAAGACTTATTTCTCTCTTCTCTCCAAATTTGAAGATCCTTCATGAGAACCTATATTTGATGCACTTTATGATTTTAAATCTTGACTTAAGTCTTTGTGCTCCGTGGCAACAAAAGATATTTAAAGGGGGTCCTTGGTAAAGAAAAGGGTAAGAACTGTTGGTGTGGAGAATTTTTAAGAGGCCCATACTTCTTTCAGTCCTTAAATAAAGCCAATATTATCATAAAGGGCTCACTCTCCATAAAACTATTCTTTCACAAAATACTTTAGGACAAGCTATTAAGCATGCTTTAGAATCTCCTAGGACTGTACATCAGGTTTGTTAAATGAAGACTGGGAAGGTGGGGTTAATACCGAAAACAAAGTCTGCATTTACTGTAGTCAGTCTTAAAACTAATATTGTAGAGGCAGTACAGGGTGATAGAATTAACACTGGACTAGGACCCAGAGGCACTGGGTGCAAATTCCTGCTTGGGCATGAAACTCCCTTGGTGGTGGAAACTGTAAACAACTCATTGAAGAATTCTGAATACCTTGAAAATCCTATTAGAGTTGCCAGAAGCAACTTGATGGAATATAAGATCCAGTTGCTTCTGGCATATTATTGGACTTACTTAGCATCTTCTCTTTTCTTATCTCATAAATAATATTCCAAGCAACTCAATCTGCATTTTTAAAAAGTTCTCTCTCTTGGCAGTTTCCTCCTGTTAAAAAAAAACCCACTGAAAAGCTGACTGTAACCCATAGACAGCATCATAAAGCCTGGCAGAGACCCAAGCCACCCTTTGTTGAATGCTTCATCAAGGTATTTTTGGCTATTTAGGGAGATCTGGCCAACTTTTCAAAATGTTTAAAATGCAATTAAGCCACACTTTAGGTTTTACAGTAGAACATCTATTGGCCCAAGGTAGAACAGGAACACTATGCATGCTTATTATACTTTCCCTGTGTGATATATCAATCTGAGGGATGTGGTGGTTCTGTGGGTTAAGTTGTAGAAGCCTCTGTGCTGCAAGGTCAGAAGACCAGCAGTCGTAAGATCAAATCCACACAACGGAGTGAACTACCGTCGCTTGTCCCAGCTCCCGCCAACCTAGCGGTTCGAAAGCATGTAAAAATGCAAATAGATAAATAGATACCACCTCAGTGGGAAGGTAATGGCATTCCGTGTCTAGTCCCGCTGGCCATGTGACCACGGAAAATGTCTATGGACAACACGCTGGCTCTTCGGCTTTGAAACTGGGATGAGCACTGCACCCTAGAGTTGGACACAACTGGACTAAATGTCAAGGGGAACTTTTGTGAATCTGGCTCTGATTTTTTGTATCTGATGTCTGTTGAATAAATTGGCCAGAGTACATGTTCTTTTTACATCCAGACATTTCACTGTACAACATGGGCAATCTGCTTTTCTTAACTCTATAGTCATATATACTAATGTGGTATGTCCCATTGAATTCAGTTGACATGTATACAATTGATTTTTCTCTCTCTATAGAATTTAACCCTTCACTAGGTTCACTCTCTACTGAAACCTTTCTTATGTTTCATATGGTTTGTATACCGTTGATTTTTGACTTGAAGTAACCATATGCAATTCCAATTTAATTTCTTATTATTGTTGTTGAAGTTTAGTACTTATGATGAAAGATATGTTTATCTAGTTCCAGGAGCCTGAAATGTCAAATCCAAGGTAATTGCTGCTCCAGCTTCTAAAGCAAGAATGAGAAATTTTTGGCCATTATCCCTGACCATTGGCCATGCTGGAGCAGATTCAATTGACATGCAGAAACATCTGGAAAGCCATGGAGTCTCTACTTTTGTTCTGCAAAAAAAAGTGAAAAGCTGAGATAAATCAACTGCTGTGATTTATCCATCCATCTCTTTCTGATTGATTGATTGATTGATTTGTATACCACCCAATTAGTACAATCACTACACTGATTTTGCTACTTACAAATCCACAGTAGCAAAAAATACATTCAAAAGCAATGCAGTGGTACAGACAATAGTTAAAACCATAATTATGAAGGACCTTATCAAAATATAGAATTAATTTTTTTAAAGGTCTTATTACAATATCTTGGTGATTCAGGTATTAAAGTCAACTTTTAAAAATTCAGTCTTCACTATCTTTCTAAACATAAGGAGACGAGGAGCCTGTCATGTATCTGTTGGCACTTTATTCCCAAAACTAGGGGCCACAATCAAAAAGGCATAATTTTTTGTATTTACCTTTTTGGTCTCCTTGGTGTAGTAACTTTTAACAACATGGATTGAGAGGAGAGGGTGGGATGGACAGCTGACTTCTGGGAGAGATGTTCCCAGGTTCTGCTACTTGGTCCCTTGGGTTGAACATAGCAGAACTGAACCTGGGATGTGAATTACATATATATATAGACATATATGTATAGTCTATGTTATCATATACAGTGGTGCCTCGCTTAACAACGATAATCCGTTCCAGGAAAATCGACGTTAAGCGAAAACATCGTAAAGTGAAATAAAAACCCCATTGAAACGCATTGAAACTCGTTCAATGTGTTCCAATGGGGTAAAAACTATTTTTATTAAAGATCTTCTTACAATATCTTGGAGATTCAGGTATTAAAATCAACTTTAAAAAATTCAGTCTTCGCCATCTTTCTAAACATAAGGAGACGAGGAGCCTGTCATGTATCTGTTGGCACTTTATTCCCAAAACTAGGGGCCACAATCAAAAAGGCATAATTTCTTGCATTTACCTTTTTGGTCTCCTTTGGTGTAGTAACTTTTAACAACATGGATTGAGAGGAGAGGGTGGGATGGAAAGCTGACTTCTGGGAGAGATGTTCCCAGGTTCTGCTACTTGGTCCCTTGGGTTGAACATAGCAGAACTGAACGTGGGCTGTGAATTATAGTCTATGTTATCATATACAGTGGTGCCTCACTTAACGGCGATAATCTGTTCCAGGAAAATCGCCGTTAAGCGAAAACATCGTAAAGTGGAATAAAAACCTCATTGAAATGCATTGAAACCCGTTCAGTGCATTCCAGTGGGATAAAAACTCATCGTCCAGCGAAGATCCTCCATACGGCGGCCATTTTCGCTGCCTGTATAGCGAGGAATCTGTCCCTAAACACAGTGGGGAGCCATTTTAATTACCCAGTGGCCATTTTGAAACCATTGATCAGCTGTCATTTTGCGAAGAATTGGTTCCCGAAGCAGGGAACTGATCATCGCAAAGCGAAATTCCCCCATTTAGACCATTGTTTTGCGATCGCAATTGTGATTGCAAAAAGATCGTCGTTAAGCAGATTCGTTGTAATGCGGGGCAATCGTAAAGCGAGATACCACTGTATTTATTTTCTATAATCTTATAATACACTGTAATAATTATATAATTATAATTCTATAACATATATTGTAATATATAATATTGTGAAGAAAAATCCTGGTAGCATACATTTATGTGGCGAAAGCTGATAACTTCAGATTCTGTCAGTAATATTTAATTTAAATTAATTGAAAGCTTTCTATTTCCCTGTTTTAAGATCCAAGGCTTCCTTAAACGCCTTTACCTTGGGGAGCCTTTGGGAGCCTCAGGATGGAAATTTACAGTAACAGGATTTTGGCCTATGTATTTATAGATATGTATTAGAGATAGGTGTGAATCAAGAAAATTGTGATTTGTTTTGATCCATGATTCATCAAGGTTCATGAATTATGAATTTATGATTTTGTTCCCTGACAAATGATGACTCAATTCCTTCTTTACCTTAAAACCCTTTAAAATGCCCCTAGATAAACCAGATTCGGAGGGAAGCTTCCCCTTATTCTCCTCTACAAGCTCTGCAGGTTTGGTGACGTTTGGCTTTCAGGCATCTGAGTTATACACCCACAAGGAGGGCCACCCAGGAAAGTTTTCCCCTAGGCACCTAGTGATACCAAAAACGACAGAGAATCTTCTACTGACACTCCTCTAGAATCTCTCCAGGTTTGGTGAAAATTGAGTTTCAGAATCCAAGTTATACACCCACAAATGGGATGCTCCCAGGAAAATGTCCTTTAGGAGCTGGCTGGGGGAAACCCAATCTTCACCAAACTTAGAGGGATTGTTGAGGAGAGAAGCTTCTATATTATGATGTCTCTAGGTGCCTGGGGGCAGCTTTCCTGTGTTTGTGGGGGGGCTCTTTGTGAGTGTATAACTCAGATATCTGGAGAGAAGAGTCAGAGGAAGCTTCTGTACAATTTTAGTATCCCTACGTGCCTGAGGGGCCGTTTTGTAGCCAAACGACTCAGTGAATAAAAAAATCACTAAAAATTTATTGATTCAAAAATCAATAAAACTTCATTGATTCATATTCATTGGGTGTATTGATTTGTACAAATATGAATTGAGAAATTAGCAATTTTGAATGGATGTGGTGATTTGTTTTTTAATTTGTACTCATCTCTAATATGTATGTATATACTGTATATACTAAATATATGTTATACTGTGTGATGTATTATTATATAATATGGTGTACATATATTATGAATAATATATAGTTTGTACATGTGTATGTGCATGCATATATAAATCCTTTTCTGTAGTTATTCTGGCAGAGGGAAATGGCATAACTTGGAGTGGCATTTTGAAATGAACTTTTCAGAGTAAGAACCATGAAATAAAATAGAAAGAAGTCCGTAACTAGTTTAATGAAGCTTTTCCATTTTTTTTCTTGATAAGCAAATCATGATGAAGTAGTAAAAGATTTTGATTTTTTTTCCCCCTTTTAGCTTCATTTTTTTCTCTTTGGGCAATCTTACAGTATTGCAGCCAAACCTGTAAAGTATTGTGTTGAAGTAATGCTCATATAACTGGAAGCGGAGGCCTATATAATGTTGACCTGTTATGTGCCACCAAGTCACTTTTGATTAGGTGTTTTGATACGCCAAGATAACCCCCCTCTTTTTTTCTTGTTAAGGACAAGAAAATACTGTATGAGAATATTTATTGCATGATTACAGTCTTGGCAAGTGTTTGTTGCAACACAAGTTACTACCGTATATACAGGGTCACACAAACAGTGATGATATCTTTTGAGAATCCTGGAATTGGAAGGTGGAGTTCTTTCTTTTAGAATTACTTACTTGTCTGTATAGAAGTATATGTTTCCATGACACAACTGCACAGCATGATGTGTAGGTTGCCACAGTTGCGTGGAGTGTTTTTGCACTATTACTCTGTGTTTCTGAAGGCACCCGTCTTGTTATGGAGATGTTCCATTGATCATAAGGAGAGCAAGCTGTCATCTTTGTGGGTAAAACGAGGAAATTTGTTATTCAGAAAAATCCAGCTGTGCTGAATAGAGACCACAGGAAAGTTATTTTTGGACAATTCTCAGAATCAACACTTGTTATTATCCCTATCTTTTCCAATCTGGATTATGAGTTTCATGTATGTTGCCATTTTTAAAAAAACAGGTTCTTCGGTGTTAAAAAAAATAACCTAGTGACGTTCCTATTCTTAAATATTTTGAGGAAAGTTAAATTCTTGTCATAAGAATATAAGAAGAGCCCTGCTCGATCAGGCCAAAGGCCCCTCTAGTCCATCTTCCTGTATCTTACAGTGGCCCCACCAGATGCCTCTGGGAGCACACAAGACATCTAGATTCTTGTCGTTTTCTTTCAGTTAATTACTATTTTTACTTGTTTCATTAAAGCTTTAATTTTTTCCCCCTTGGTTTATTTTCGCCCTCAGATCAGGAACGTTGAAACAAACCAGTGCTTGGATAATATGGGACGTAAGGAGAATGAAAAAGTGGGCATATTCAATTGCCATGGCATGGGAGGAAACCAGGTAAAAATGCATCCTACCTTCAAAATAACTTCTAAAGTATTCGAAGGCTCAGCATATGTGACCAAACATGACATTAAGCCATAGTTTATTGAGTAAGGATTTACCTTTAACTTGATAGCATACATCCACTTGGTGTTAATTTATGCCAGGCAAGCTGAATGATGTCATCATCAAACAACAGATATCTTTAATTTAGTAGAAGCTTCTCTCAATACCCTTTGATTTGTAGAGCAGGGTGTTGGACTTAATGGCCTTATAAGCCCCTTCCAAATTCACTATTCTATGATTCTGCTGCTGAAATATGTTCTGTCTTAGGAATCAGTGTCATTGTATCCAACTGCGTTCTGTGAACAAGCCCTCCCCCTGCTTTAGTAGGGGCCAAATCTGGTGTGCTAGTGGAATTCGGACTTTCTTCCCCCACCCCCACTCCAGACCATCCAGAAGGACTTTGTTGTCCTAAAAACCCACTCCAAGTTTCCTGGTCCTCCTGGGCATGTAGCTAAGCTGCTTGTGGGAAATGCAAAACGGGAGTAGATCTCGCTTTCTTATCTGTAGAATTAGCTACCTAAGGTGGAAACACACCGTTGTTTTAGCCTCATATCTGGACAGATTTTCCATGTTCAGTTCTTTGAGCCTTCTGTTAATTGGCAATTTCTGGTTCTCTGCTCTGACTTCTAGACATTTGTGAATTATTGCAGAACTGGTGCATAAACAATTTTTTCTGTTGCTATAGCTTTTCACTACTGACTGGTTTTTTTTCCTCCTCCACCAGTTTGGTTTAGAGCAATGAATGAGCAACAGAAGAAGGAAATTTGTGTATACCTTTAAAGGAACAACATATTAATTTAAAGCCTAAAGTCTTGCAACTAATTAGAGACTAATGAAATTATGCACACTTTATTTTGTTGTTTGGGATTCCATAGATCTTGCAACTAGAAGGAGTATGAAAACCCAAGTGGGAGTGTGATTTTCACTCTCTAAGTAATATGAACAACCACAGGCAATGGTAAATATGTAATAGGCTGCTAGATAACAAAAGCACATTAATTGGGGGGGGGAGTTAGCCTCCATGAACTGTCCACAAGGAAAGGTTGCTGTTGTGTTCCATATAATGTTATGCACATGCAAAAAATTGCTTCCTCCTTAATAATTAATTCCCATAAGTTCTTCTTCAGTGCCACATTCAATATGACACTGCAAACTCTGTGCCTATGTGCAGCCTTGCAGAGGTGCAAAGTATAAAGAACATTTGAGGTCTCGCAATTTGTTCCCACACAGCCCACTGTCAATTATAATGAAACCAAAATAAGCAGGAGCTGAGTGAAATGGCGCTCAACTACAGTATAGTCAAATTGTTTTCATTTCGTTTTGTCTTCCTAAGTTCCACTTTCCATCTAATGCCTTGCTCTGATTCAAATTATGCAGGAGGGAGAATTTTACCAGATGTGGCTTTTACCTTCACATGCTTTTGCTCTGGCGAGGTGAGTCACCTTTGCTGAAATTCTCCCTTCTGTTCAAATTTAAGGGAAAGAGGTCTTCTCGGGGTTTATTGCTGAAAATCTAACAGCAGGCACTGAAATACAGAAATGATAAGAAAGGAATTGTGGCAAATTGTATCCTGTTTGCTTTGTTGTGATTAGAGATGGGGGTATTTGTATATGAATACCCACTCACAGGTGGACATAATGAGGGTCCAGCCCCCTGGGGCCAGATGGTCCACTCACCAATCCACCACTGCCATGGCTGCCACAGAGCCTTCCAATGGATCCGAAGAGCGCATTCAGCTCGCCACTCCTGGCAGGAGGTGGGACGACCAGCCTCTCTGCTAGGTAGAAGAGTGGCTTGCAGAACGTGCTCTTCAGATCCATTTGAAGGCTCTGCGGTGCCCACAGCAGCGGCAGATAGGTGAGTGGACTGACTGGACCCAGGAGGCTGGACCCTTGTTATGTCCACCTGTGTGGGGGTATTCATATATGAATATGAATACCCCCATCCCTAGTTGTGATCTATTTGCTAGTCACTAATGTGAAAACACATTTTATACATGTATAATTTCTGTTTAACCATACGTGAACATAAAGAGTTTGAGGGCATTATAACAAAATATTAGAACATGCAAAACTAAAGTAAGCTTCAATCTGCTTTTCATATTTTCCTTTCGATAGCACCCTAATTGGTAACCTCATATGATTTGCATGAATTTGCTAATTGATAATGCAATCAGGTTCAATTTGCACACTTTGTCAATTTGCATCCAGCAATTAATTGGCAAAGGCTGCTTCCAACAATTAAAAGAAAGCACTTTCCCTGTACCTTTGATTAGAATACAGTTGAGAGGAGCATGCACAATAACTCTGGAGCGTTGTGAATTATTAAAATAGCCATCACATAGTTATGCGCAGTGAAGTCATAGTAACCTTAACAGGGCTGTGACGTCCACCCTCGTGCCCCTTGCTTGACCTTCAAGCCTCAGAGCACAGGAAGGCAACCAATCTCTTCTTTTACACTTGCTGCCACCAGGTGATCTCTAAATCACCATTACTTCACAAAGATTCAGGTCCACACTTCAAGTTCTTTTAAAGTAAAACTTTGGTTTATTGATTACAGAGATTCATAAATATCTTCAGTAGCTAATCACCTCTAAATTTCCCAAACTACACACTCTATTACTCTGTCTGGCTTTTCTCTCCTGCCTGACTCTTACATTTCTCTAACTGACTGACTCTGACTGACTCAGGCTCCGCCTCTTATAGCATCTTTCTCTGCTCCGCCTCTAAGCAGTATTAATATGCATGAACCATTTCATTACATAATATACATGAACCATAGATCTAATAAATGGAGAACGCTACAAGGGCTTTCAAAGTAAGTGAGATATTTAAGGGGTGGTTTTACTACTTTCACTGCCCCAATCAGTTTCCATGGCTCAGTCCATCACCCTATCTAACCATCACATAGGTTGCTCCAATTTGTGTTTTATATTTCTTCTGATCAAACCCAATATCAATTCCAACTTGCAGTTTAAATTTCATATTTAATTTCCACCCTTTGATATATACGTATAAATCCTTCTTTCTGTCTCTCTGTCACACTGTCATTCCCCACTGCAGAAAAGAATGCTTCAAAACAAGCAAGAGGGTTTTATTACACCAAGTGAAATTTATTTTTCTTCTAAATTTAAAAAAAAAGGGTGAATCTTAGGAACATTTATTGTACTTTAATCAGGAACAATTCTTATTTTTAAACTGCAAAATAAATATTATGCCACCTGCCTTCTCCACTCATGCAAGGATCTGCCTCATCTGTGTGCCTCATGTAGGCCTGGCACTGATGGACTGAACATAAGATCGCCGATGGCTGTATATAAATCTGTACTGTGGCAACTAACTGGTTGGCAGTCTCAAAGAGAATATTGTATTTGCAGGAAAGGGAGTAAAAAGCCACATCGCTTTTAGCCTTTCCTTTTAAGAAGGTCCTGTAAGCAATAGGTTCACAGGAAATACATACATTTGTAGTACTGAATTGTGGCTAATTGTGTGATTTTAATTGATGTGAGTCGCCTTGGGTCCCCTATGGAAAGAAAAGCTGGGTGGGTGCTTAAAGTGCCACTTTTTGTGTCAAATACCCACAAACTTCATTATTAAGATTCTCTGTTTGGAGCTGATTTTAAAGGCATATGACTCTATCCACACACTAAGATCAACTGTGAAGGCTTTCTCTGTGCATATTCTCCCCTTCAGTAAGATGAGTTAGGTTAGGTGGGCAAGGTCTTCTTGGGGATAACCCCACGGTTAGGGAAGGGCTGTGCATCTGAATTAAGCATGGCCCTACAGTGCAGGCCTTAAAACAGTGTTCCAAATTATGATACCTACCCTTAGAAATGTATTTGTTGGCTCTTAGTCCGAGATAGCAATAATGTACTTCTGTGATTTGATGCTTTTAAATGGATCTTAAAGTATCTCATCTCATTCTGTATACTGCTTAAAAGACCTACTATTCTTTGAAGAAACATGCTGAGGGGGAGCCTTCCACGTATAAGAGCATGGCAGAAATAACCATTTCCTCCCTGTAGCAGCCCCAGCAGTTTCCTGAAAACACTGCAGGAGGAGAGAGCAGGGACCCTACTGAATTCCTGTAGCAGCCCCAGCTGTTTCCCACAGGAGGAGAGAGCAGGGACCCTACTGAATAATGTGGGAAGGATCATTGAAAATTGGGTGGATGTACTGTATCTTCTATGCAGTGAGCCCTTTCATCCACAGTATAGAGATCCAAAGTCTAATCCCTAACTTGATTCATTAGACTTAAGCTTTTGGTCAGGGTCTACAAATGGGATGGAGCTGACATAGTATTACAGACATCACAGATAATTGATTCGGAGGGCACATGAGCAGATATTAAAGAGAGGTTCTAACCTTGTGCATCATGGTAGCTGATGATGATATGGTGAGCCATCTATTCATGTAAAACCCTCATTTATGTTTACTGTTGCAATGCCTCCATTTCATCTGTCTGCTTTAAAAAGTACAGGAACAGGGCTCTTGGATCAGATCAGGAGGTCCAGCCGGCAGTATTTGTTAGCCTCAGACCTCATGGAAATATGATTTCCTTAAGTGGCATGCTTCCGCTTCATTCAGGGGTAGGGGTATTCTCTAATAAACACTCTTGCTGGTATGTACACAAGAAGAGGCAGTAGGAAAGCTTCTTCAACAAAACTAAAATAAATAGGTATTAGAGTAGGCCCACTTGAATTAATAGAACTGATGGAGGAGTTGACTCCCTAGATCCTCATTGATTCAATGAACCAACTCTTATGTAATTTACAAGTTCATGTAACAATTTGATCAGTCTTATTTCGTATAAGCTTTTATGGACTGAACAGTGTAGGAGGGATTGTTGAAAACTAGGTGGAGATCACTAATATTAGCTGACTAAATAGCTGAGTGATTTAAATATTTGGCTGTGGAGCCAGTGGTTGGGAGTTCAATTCTCCATTGTACGTCCAGGGAGAAGAGCCAGCCTGTGTGGCCTTCGGCAAGCTGCACAGTTCCAGGGTGGCCCCGAAAGAAGAGACTGGAAAACACTTCTGAATATTCTCTGTTCTCTACCTGGCTTATAGTAACCCTAAAAAAGGGTCACTATGTCAGAACTGACTTGATGCCACATGATGATGATTATTATTGATTTGGAGGGCAGTCATGGCACAGCTCATGCCCAGCGCATCAGGTTCACAGTATGAAGTGGATTATGTCCTCAAAGGTTTGTGCCAGATAAAAATACCTAATCTTTAAAGTGCTGCAAGACTATTTGTTGTTTTGCTGCAACAGATGAAAAGGACTATCCCACCAAAAAATCTGGGTGTGCCCATTCTAATTTTATCATTTCTACTGGACAACTTTAACAACGCACAACGAGAACTTGTGCCACATGATTGTTATCACTACAGTCAATTGTCTGACAGTTAGGCTGAAGTTAACATTTTGATAGTGGTGGGTTTTACACCCAACTGGCCCTGGTACCTTCCCATTATTGCATTAACTTTTTTCCCCAAATACTAGTAATTTTTTTTTTCAGAAAACAAACTATAAAAGTAAGCAGCAGACTGGTTTACACCTGTATAATGACATGTTGTATATACACAGCTCCTTGAAGTTCTTGTGTGATTTGCATGATCTTTATAATAATGTTACAAGGTAGATGATCAATATTATCAGCAGATGGGACACCGAGGCTGGAAGAATAATGGCATGCTCAAGATTAGCATGTTCACAACTAAAATGAGATTTGTACCAGAGATTTAGTGACTCACATTATGTATGTGTAACCATTAAGTTGCAACAGCTAAACCATTATATTGCACAAGAACACAGTGATAAAATGCATGGAAATTAATATTACGAAACAAATTCATGGCATCTATTTTTGTTGCTAGCACATTTATATCATCTTAATTGTATCTCTGTTAGAATTAACATTCATGAACTCTATTTGGATATTCATTTTCTTGATTAAAACATCCTAAGGGCTTGCACTTGTTTAAACTCTACCCTTAATTTATTTTATCCTCACACCAAATTCCAGAGTTAGAAATGTTTATGTACTGTTCAGTTACTGCAATTTTCTGACCTTGTAGTATTTCTATGGTATCTGAATCAATGGAATTCCGCTAAGTTCTAATCACTCACATTGATTTTGTGGTATTCACAGTAATTCCAGTTTCCTGCAATGTCCTTCAATATTTTTCATCCTTGACTCAATCAAGGTTGGATTGCCTCATTAATTAAAGACTTATGATGAAGATTGACCTAATATCAAAGCTAGATGTCTTTTCTCCAATGGTTCCCAGCCTTGGCCCCCCGATGTTCTTGGACTAAAACACCCAGAAGCCTTCACTGGCTGTGCTAACTAGGATTTCTAGGAGTTGGAGTTGAAGAATATCTGGGGACCCACATTTGGGAAGCATTGCTATAGTTGATTTTCTGTAGGGTTATTGCTGGAAATTTTTTAGGGGGCAATTCTGTACATGGCTACTCAGAGATTAGCTCTACTGAGGTCAATTAGGCTTATTCCTAAATAAGAATATGTAGATTATAACTATAATGATTCAGTGGTTTATTTTTCAACATGGATGGGCTACTAAAGTGCTTTATACTGACTTTGAGATATATAGTAATTTACAGGATTTTGTTTGTAATATACTACAGCCACACAGAACAAAATAGCATTTTCATCCTTGAAAACTCACACTGAAAGAAAACGGATGCTCTTTAAGATATCATAGCACATCTTCCTTTGCTTTTTTCCCCTTCCTTCCCCCACCATATAATTCTTTTCCTTAAGGAATTTTGTGTTTACTTAGGGTCAAAGTTAAGGTATAAGAAGTGTGTGTCAATGTGTCCCTATGTTGAGTGAGGAGGAAATGTTATTCTGTGTTCTGAATTCTTTTGCTTTGGGGTTTCAGCTTCAGTCATTACTTTTACTTAAAACTGAAAGTCTTTTGGCTGGGGTGTGCAGAATATGTATATACACAAAAACAATGCCAAAAGAATCTTTTATGAATGTCAAAATAATCTTTTAATTCTTCCAGGTGTTTTCATATACTGCTGACAAGGAGATTCGCACAGATGATTTGTGTTTGGATGTCTCTAGGCTCAATGGCCCCGTGATAATGTTAAAATGCCACCATATGAGAGGAAATCAACTTTGGGAATATGATGCCGAGGTACCTATTCAAATACAAATATTGTATTATTCAAATAGATTATGAGAAAAGGAGGCTTACTTTCATTATGGATATCTAAACACTATTGTTGATATGAAGCTAACAAATCAAAATAGGTGCAGTTTGACCCAAAATTAATCCTTTATGCTAAAGTTGTGTAACTTGTTATAGTTTGGTAAGAAATCTTTTGGGCAAGGCTGTGCTTAGTGTTTTCTGTAATTTTCTGCAGCAGTGTGAGCCCTTCCCTTCTTTTCTAGTTATCCTGAGAAAGAGAGCTTACCGTACAAACCCTCACCTCACATGTATGTGGCATAAGATATTTAACTCATTCCGCATAACTGGCTGAAATGAATCAGTAGGGATTTGGTGTGTCATCTCCTCCATAAGTTCCATTTATTCAAATGAGCATATTCTAGTTGTGAGTTACTACACAAAAGCAAGTGACAGCTAAAGTAGGCCTATTGAATCAATGGAACTTATGAAGATGTTGACTCAACAAATCCCCACTGATTCAACGGGTGTGTTCTAGCATAACTTATCATACTAAGCTACAGGATTTCAGCTACTAAATACCAACCTTTCAGATTGCATCTTAATCAATAAATATTGTAAAGAGGATATATCCTGCTTTATTGGGTCTCATATTTGGTACAATATGTACAATATACAATATACATAAGAGCCTCGTGGCGCAGTGGTTTAATATACATATTATACGTTCAGGAAAGTTCTTCAGGTTCAGAAAGTATTCAAAATATTTGTCAGTTTTCTAACTAATACGAAGTGAAGCGAGGAAGTTCGAAGTGGTACTTAAATCAAATCAGGGCTCTCTAAAGCCTAAATATTTCTTTATTATTTTGATTTTAAAAGCTGAATTTAAAAAAATTTAAACACCATTGAGTCTCACTGGAGAAATGAAAGTACTACTTTAACAGAACCAGAAAAAGCAAAGCAAAGGGGGATTTATTTATAGCTTGTATACGAATTAAAAGGTCAGGCTCTTCTAGAAACTCCGATCCTGGATTCTCTAGGAGGGCTCAGATCAACCAGATAAATTCCTTTGCCCTGTGATTGGCCACTGTTTTGCATCTTGATAGGGCAAGGGATAGTTGTCAGTCTGTTACAGGTTGCTATTTGCATTGTTTTATCTTTGGTAGGGTGGGTATGTATTGGAGAAATGTTTGTTCCTTTCTTTTATGCAGCATTAGCTCTCATTTTATATTGCACTTTGGTTGATTATGTGCCTGTGCATGAATGTGCCAGAGATGCACTGAGTCTGTCATGTAGACTTTGTATAGAGTAGGTCACAGTAGCATTAGGAATAGGGACTATGCTGATTTTCTGCCTTTGTACCTATACTCACCTTCATTTTATACTTTTTTAATGCCAGCTGCTAGCTTTTACTTTTGCCGCACATTGTTTTTTTTGTTTTTGTTTTTTTTAACCAGTGCTTGCCTGTGTTCCAGACAGGGTGGGTAGCAAATGTGACTCACAAGACAGTGGTCAGTTCCTGTGGGCAGTGAAGCTACTAACAGTGGACATTTTGGTTTCATCCAACAAATTTGAGAGCCCTTTTATCTTCTTGATTTTTATGTTTTCCTACTATCCATATCCTTACAAAAAACGTCTGAATGCATAAGTATGAAATGGAAGTGGATGGGCTGCAAATCAGCTCAAGGCAAGCTGCTTGCTATTTGTAAGACTGAACTGAAATTGGATGAAACATCAAATTGAAGAAGAGCCAGTTTTAATTAGATACCTATCACACCTTTGTTCAGGAATCTTTTCATTGTTCCCTCCCATAAAAACATTGTAGTCACTCTCTCACATCAGATCTAGAAAATACAATATGAAAGCACATCATCTCCATTTACCACCGTAATACATTCTTTGCTGGCCAAACTGTTCAGAAAGTCCTGCTTCACTAGAGCCTGATGCTCCATTGGTACTGAGTGAACAGCTGTACCTTGTGTGTGTGCCCTGGGATCTGTGCTAGTCTCCTTATTGGTTTTGGGTACTGTGGAAGGTACTATGTTTGCCTTATAAACCTATAAATGACTTGAAGCCTTAATATGGTCAATACGTTTTCTCTTAAGCTCAAAACAGATTGAGGATACATCCTCTGCTATAACTCTTATATGGTTAGAAAATAACATTGCAAATAAAAGTGTTCTCGGTAGCTGGTGGCAGAGAATGCTGATCTGCACTAGAGCAGCACTGGAGAAGTTTTCTAGTTCACACTGAAACCAGGCTTATACTGTAATTTTTGCAATTTATTAATTTATACAGCTATATGATCACTTGTTCATTAGTTCAGGAATGCTTTTATTTTGTAAGGGAATGATATGCTGCCATAAAATATGCACCATAAAAAAAGATGGCTAGATCTATAATTCCACACTTACAAATACTATTCCAGCAAAATATAGGGAATAAAAAAAATACTGTACAGGTTTTAGCACTGTGAGCAACTACCAGTCTATGAGATACCATACAGATTTCCCATCAACAAAGAGAAATATTTCATACAACCAGGAATTATTAAAAGGTTTTTCAGTCAAGCTACAAGCCTGTGGTGTGTCATCAGGCATTCCTTGAGGCACTGCGGTTTCTGGATCTATGAACCTACCTCATGTGTTGACTAGTCAATTGGTCAGGAGAAAATGCTGTATTTACATTTATGAATTCACCCATTCACCATACACTTCTGGCTCATTGCTAATGCTTGGGGTGCTCCCATACGGTCTCCCTTTGATATAGTATCATTTTCATGGCATCTATTCATGTCCAAGATAAATGTGCTTTTTCAGGATATTTTTGTCTTATACAACAATGGTTTCCTTGTCCCACCCATCATGTAATGAATCATTTCCCAAAATGCCTGGGACCTGTTTACTAAATAGGCCTTTGTTTATCAAATAAGTCTTTCTATTTAGATAGCTACTTAAAAAGAGGGGTGAGTGTTTCAAAAGTACTGTATTTAAAAGGTAGAAGACACTCAATATTTACAGATCATAGCTGCAGGTGTTATTTTTAAATGGTTTCTTTTTCCTAAGAAACTTCAGTGCATCCAGAATGAGAACATTGACCTTACCCAAAATCACAATACTTGACAGAGGTATAGGAAGAGGATAAAGAAGGTTTTCCCACCCATATTCATTGGAGTGTTCTTTGGGGGTGCCATAATCCCAACATTGATGTTTACTATAGATGGGGGTATTCGTACGTATATGAATACAAATGTTCCCCCACAGGTGCAGATAGCTCACAACCACTCACGATTCTGCCGTTAGCTCCGCAATCTGTTCCTATCGCTCCATTGCTTGCGATGGATTAGCCACTTCTGCTAGAAGGCGGGATGACAAGCCTCTCTGCTAGGTGGCTAATCCATCACACGCAACAGAGAGATAGGAAGGGACCACGGAGCTCGCAGCAGTGGCGGAATCGTGATTGGTCAATCTGGCCTCAGGGGGCCGGACCCTCATTATCTGCACCTGTGGGAGGGTATTCATATTCATATACAAATACCCCATCTCTAATGTTTACCATAAGGCAAAACAGGAGCTTAAGTCTAGACATATTTTGGTGCAAAGATGCAACCTTTGATCTCAACTAGAGATGGGGGTATTCGTATACGAATGTGAATATACCCCACAGGTGGAAATAACGAGGGTCCACCATTCCACCACAGACGCGTGCTCAACAGAGCCTTTCTATTGCGCCGTTGTCCACAATGGATTAGCCACTCTGCGACGCAGCAGAGAGGCTTGTCATCCCGCCTCCTGCCAGGAGTAGCAAATCCATCGATAGGAAGGCTCTGTCGAGCACGCATCCGCAGCAGAATGTTGAGTGGAACCCTCCTTATTTCCACCTGTGGGGGATATTTGTATACAAATACCCCCCATCTCTAATCTCAACCAAAGAAGTACAGTATTTAAATGAAGCCTAACGATAGCCATTTATACAGACATTAACTTTTAAAAGCTCCAGAAATTGAGTTCCAAGATTGGTTTGCTCTCGCCTCTGATTCATAGAACCCAGGATCCCTTTGGCTTTGCCATTTCAGTCTCTCCAAGGACATCTGGCTGCTGTACTGCCCCATTACCATATTTTATAATCCTGAACTTGTATTAGAGCAAAGACAGAAATAGATTAAACATTTGTTTCTGTTTAACCAGTCCCCTGCACACTTCACCAATAACAACAATGAATGAGTTCATTCATGCAGGCCCCCATGTACACCCATAGTGGCTGCCACCAGTAAATCTTCTGGTATAAGTATCATGAAAAGGAACAAAAGAAGGTTTTATGCTGAGGGGATCACACTTCTTTCTTGCGATGTTAGAAAAATAACTTGTGGGGTGAAGACAAGCTATGATTGTCAAGTGTTCTATGGCTGATGTGAATAGATCTTACCAGTGGTTATTTATGTAAAGATGCCGGCTGCAGTTATTTTTAAAAATAAAGTAAATAAGTAGTTGTGTGCTGTGAAGTCAATTCCAAGTGCCCCCCCAGGGTATTCTAGCTATGAAGCACTCAGAAATGGTTTACAGATTCTCCTTCCAGTGGGCACTCCAGCACTGTGCATCTTGCCCGAGTCTGAACCAGTGACCTTGACCGACTCATTACAGCCCTTAAGAGAAGACATTCTAACAAAGTACTGGGGAGGGGGCATTTTAATGCCAATGGCCTGAACGTGGCACTAATTAGGCAAAATGGATTAAACTCTTGGGCAAGCTGGTGCACGGCCATTTGTGCAATCGGTTATGTAAAATGGGCTACACAAAACTGAACTGTTCTGGATGTAATACTTGCTTTGAACTTGTAATTAACTGGCTCTGTATATATTCTCTAATTCACGGGAAAGCATTATTTAAAAAACAAATAATACAGGCAGTTGCCAAAGCCAAAAAATGGTAGAAATGTAGGGCAACATTGAAGAGGAGACATGCCTTCGTCTCATGCAGCAGAAAAACAGAGATATTTTAAGACAGAACCTA